TCAGGCTGTGGGACATGATGTCAGGCTGTGGGACATGATATCAGGCTGTGGGACATGATGTCAGGATGTGGGACATGATGTCAGGCTCTGGGGCATAATGTCAGGCTGTGGGACATGTCAGGCTGTGGGACATGATGTCAGGCTGTGGGACATGTTGTCAGGCTGTGGGACATGTTGTCAGGCTGTGGGACATAATGTCAGGCTGTGGGACATGTTAATAGACCTAATCTCAGTCAGTCTGTATGTGTTATGTTGAAATATGACCAGTCTAGACCTGATCTCAGTCAGTCTGTATGTGTTATGTTAAAATATGACCAGTCCAGATCTCAGTCAGTCTGTATGTGTTATGTTGAAATATGACCAGTCTAGATCTCAGTCAGTCTGTATGTGTTATGTTGAAATATGACCAGTCTAGATCTCAGTCAGTCTGTATGTGTTATGTTGAAATATGACCAGTCTAGATCTCAGTCAGTCTGTATGTGTTATGTTGAAATATGACCAGTCTAGATCTCAGTGAGTCTGTATGTGTTATGTTGAAATATGACCAGTCCAGATCTCAGTCAGTCTGTATGTGTTATGTTGAAATATGACCAGTCCAGATCTCAGTCAGTCTGTATGTGTTATGTTGAAATATGACCAGTCTAGATCTCAGTCAGTCTGTATGTGTTATGTTGAAATATGACCAGTCCAGATCTCAGTCAGTCTGTATGTGTTATGTTGAAATATGACCAGTCCAGATCTCAGTCAGTCTGTATGTGTTATGTTGAAATATGACCAGTCCAGATCTCAGTCAGTCTGTATGTGTTATGTTGAAATATGACCAGTCTAGATCTCAGTCAGTCTGTATGTGTTATGTTGAAATATGACCAGTCCAGATCTCAGTCAGTCTGTATGTGTTATGTTGAAATATGACCAGTCCAGATCTCAGTCAGTCTGTATGTGTTATGTTGAAATATGATCAGTCTAGACCGAATCTCAGTCTAACAAGAGAATAATAAAGTATGAACTGTTTGATTAACATTGAGATTTTAAAGCATTTGCAGCCCGACTTTAGCTCAACCAATTTAGTTCTATCAAGACTTCTTAACATATTTACTGAATGTCTTGTCGTGAGTTCACTAATGTATTATGTGGCAAAGCATTTATAATCAGTCAAATAATATCACTGCAATGAAATTATAAAGAATTTATGATTCAGTTAGGTTAGGCCATATATTTTTAAACTAATTAAAAAAGTGTTAATAGCCTGTGTAAAAAATCAGCTTACATTTAAGAAAATATCATTTATAGCCAGTAACTGACTTAGATGAAATATATGTACACTGACATAAAGCATTTTGTAACACAATAAACTCAGGCCACACATACGTATACTGGAGACATAAAAGCATATATAAATGGTGATGAACTCAGGCCACATAATCTGTACACTGAGAACATAAAGCATCAATGAGTGATACACTGAGACAGACAGCCTGGGAGAGAGGCAGAAAGCCCAGGTGTGGTTGTGTGAGAGCAAAGCATTACCTGTCTGTTCAGTCATGTCCCCTTTCTTCCCTTGATGAAGGCAGCACAAAGAAAGTCAAAGGTTAGTGTATTTGTTGGTGTGTCTGCTTGTCTGTCTCCCTATCTTTATTTGTCTTTTTTCAGTGATAACAAATATAAATTATACAGTTTAGACATCAGAAATATTTGTTGGTCTATTTGATTGTAATCTTTCACTGGATGGTTAAGTATTAGTAGTGACAACATTGATAGTTTGGTGGTAGTAACAGCAGCAGTGATGGCAATATTAGTTGTAGCAACAGTTGTTGCATTAGTCATGGTAGTAGCTACAGCAGGCACAGTAGTGGTGGTGGTGGTGGTATTAGTATTAGTTGTAGAAGCAGCAGTGGTAGCAATATTAGTTGTAGCAACAGTTGTAGCATTAGTCATGGTAGTAGCTACAGCAGGCACAGTAGTGGTGGTGGTGGTATTAGTATTAGTTGTAGAAGCAGCAGTGGTAGCAATATTAGTTGTAGCAACAGTTGTTGCATTAGTCATGGTAGTAGCTACAGCAGGCACAGAAGTGGTGGTGGTGGTATTAGTATTAGTTGCCAAGGTCAGTTTTAAAACAACACGCCTGATTGCAGATTTGAAGTGAAAACCTATGGAAACACAGGAACATGTCTCGCTGCTACATTAAGACAGCTCTCATCTCTGTGTTGTGTTCAAGCTCAACTGAACCAGCATTGCTACTTTTAAAAATTACCTACTAAAAATATCATAAACTCCATTTCTTCCTTAGCAGGAAACATATACTGTTGAACTTGCATGTATGTACAATAACTGAAATGTTTAACTGTGTTAAACACAACCATGTAAATGTAATTATTAAAGAGATTTGAACCTCATATAATAGTAAACTATAACAGTAAACTTCAACAGTAAACATGAGACAAATATGGATCCCAAGTTATAGTGCACAAAACAAAACACATGGACCGCATATGGCTGTACATATTATGATGGTATGGACTGTATGGGATGTACAACAAAATTACAATGACAGCAGTGGGTGAACAGAATACAACAACAACATACCAGGTACAACTGTGGGTGAACAGAATACAACAACAACATACCAGGTACAACTGTGGGTGAACAGAATACAACAAATAGACAAATGATAACACAGCCCAGGGCAGAAAATGAGTGAATAGACAAATGATAACACAGCCCAGGGCAGAAGATGAGTGACTGGACAAACGATAACACAGCCCAGGGCAGAAAATGAGTGAATAGACAAATGATAACACAGCCCAGGGCAGAAGATGAATGACTGGACAAACGATAACACAGCCCAGGGCAGAAAATGAGTGAATAGAGAAACGATAAGCCCAGGGCAAAAGATGAGTGAATAGACAAATGATAACACAGCCCAGGGCAGAAAATGAATGACTGGACAGATGATACCACAGCCAAGGGCAAAGGATGAATGACTGGATAAATGATAACAGCCTAGGACAGAAGATGAATGAATGGACAAATGATAACAGCCTAGGACAGAAGATGAATGAATGGACAAATGATAACAGCCTAGGACAGAAGATGAATGAATGGACAAATGATAACAGCCTAGGACAGAAGATGAATGAATGGACAAATGATAACAGCCTAGGACAGAAGATGAATGAATGGACAAATAATAACACAGCCCAGCAGGACAGCCTCCCAAAATCTATACCCAAGCTGCCACCTGTCCCCTAAGTAAAGAAGCCCTTCCATGAAAGCCCACAAGTCTAAGCACTCACCTCTCTGGCCAGCCTGTGTAGCATGAACAATGAGGGCATCCACAGCTCCGCCCCGGACGTCTGGTCCATCTTCCTCCTGTAGGGGGAACAGGTTTAGACTGCTTACTCACCTCTTCAATATGCTTATTTACTGTACTGTCTGTCTGTCCATCTAGTTATATTTCTGCACTCTCTGTCAGTCTGTGCATTGTTATTTATATTATTGTATTGTCTGCTTGTCTGTCCACCCAGTGATTTATATTATTGTATTGTCTGCCTGTCTGTCCACTCAGAGATTTATATTATTGTATTGTCTGCCTGTCTGTCCACACAGTGATTTATATTATTGTATTGTCTGCTTGTCTGTCCACCCAGTGATTTATATTATTCTATTGTCTGCCTGTCAGTACACTCAGTGATTTATATTATTGTATTGTCTGCCTGTCTGTCCACACAGTTATTTATATTATTGTATTGTCTGCCTGACTGTCCACTCAAGAGATTTATATTATTGTATTGTCTGCCTGTCTGTCCACTCAGAGATTTAAATTATTGTATTGTCTGCCTGTCTGTCCATTCAGTGATTTAAATTATTGTATTGTCTGCTTGTCTGTCCACCCAGTGATTTAAATTATTGCATTGTCTGTCCACCCAGTGATTTAAAAAATTGTATTGTCTGCTCACCCAGTGATTTAAATTATTGTATTGTCTGCTTGTCTGTCCACCCAGGTGATTTAAATTATTGTATTGTCTGCCTGTCTATTCACCCAGGTGATTTAAATTATTGTATTGTCTGCCTGTCTGTCCACCCAGTGATTTATATTAATGTATTGTCTGTCCACCCAGTGATTTATATTATTGTATTGTCTGTCCACCCAGTGATTTATATTATTGTATTGTCTGTCCACACAGTGATTTATATTATTGTATTGTCTGTCCACCCAGTGATTTATATTATTGTATTGTCTGTCCACCCAGTGATTTATATTATTGTATTGTCTGTCCATCCAGTGATTTATATTATTGTATTGTCTGCCTGTCTGTCCACCCAGTGATTTATATTATTGTATTGTCTGCCTGTCTGTCCACCCAGTGATTTATATTATTGTACTGTCTGCCTGTCTTTCCACTCAGTGATTTATATTATTGTATTGTCTGCCTGTCTGTCCACCCAGGGATTAAAATTATTGTATTGTCTGCCTGTCTATCCACCCAGTGATTTAAATTATTGTATTGTCTGCCTGTCTGTCCACTCAGAGATTTTTATTATTGTATTGTCTGCCTGTCTGTCCACCCAAGGATTTAAATTGTTGTATTGTCTGCCTGTCTGTCCACCCAGTGATTTATATTATTGTATTGTCTGCCTGACTGTCCACCCAGTGATTTATATTATTGTATTGTCTGCCTGTCTGTCCACCCAGTGATTTATATTATTGTACTGTATGCCTGTCTGTCCACCCAGTGATTTATATTATTGTACTGTCTGCCTGTCTGACCACTCAGTTACTTATATTACTGTACCAGAACCAGACCCAAGGTCTAATTGAGTAACCAAAGATAAAATAAATATTATGTTCATCAGTTATATTTTACACTTGAAGAAAAAAAAATTAAGTTATCCTTTATTTCTACAGATAGAATGACAGTGAAAAACAACACTGGTTTCTTACAATTTATCAGATGCTCTATTTTAACAGGGACAGATAGAAAGACAGTGACAGACAATACCTGTTTCTTAAAAATCAGCTGATCCTCTACTTCCACATCATCCAGCAAATTCAGCTCAGAGAAGTCTGAGTCTGAATCCTTCTGGATCTCGGGCTGAGCCAGGGGCGCCACTTCTTTCTCTTCCGACTGAGCTCGTAGGCTAACCACGGGAGGTGGCAGGGACAACCTTAGCGACTGCGACGAGATACTGCCACTGTACCAAAGAAACAAAACAACAGTCAGTCGAGATAAACCACAGGCGGGAGTGTCATCTGCTGACATGACACAGATGGTGTCTTGCACTTACATCACCAGGCAGTTTTGTACACATGTGTACAGTGCATACAATCATTGTGACCTAATTCTACATTCTAGGATAGTCTGCAATCTCCCTCTAACCTCACTGATAATCTATAAATGTCTACAATCTTCCTCTGACCTTGTCGATCCTCTATGATTGTCTGAACTCTTCCTCTGACCTGTTTCTATAATCTATGATTGGCTATAATCTTCCTCTGACCTGTTTCTATAATCTATGATTGGCTATAATCTTCCTCTGACCTGTTTCTATAATCTATGATTGGCTATAATCTTGCTCTGACCTGTGTCTATAATCTATGATTGGCTATAATCTTGCTCTGACCTGTTTCTATAATCTATGATTGGCTATAATCTTCCTCTGACCTGTGTCTATAATCTATGATTGGCTATAATCTTGCTCTGATTTGTGTCTATAATCTATGATTGGCTATAATCTTGCTCTGACCTGTGTCTATAATCTATGATTGGCTATAATCTTCCTCTGACCTGTTTCTATAATCTATGATTGGCTATAATCTTGCTCTGACCTGTGTCTATAATCTATGATTGGCTATAATCTTCCTCTGACCTGTTTCTATAATCTATGATTGTCTGAACTCTTCCTCTGACCTGTTTCTATAATCTATGATTGGCTATAATCTTGCTCTGACCTGTTTCTATAATCTATGATTGGCTATAATCTTCCTCTGACCTGTTTCTATAATCTATGACTGGCTATAATCTTCCTCTGACCTGTTTCTATAATCTATGATTGGCTATAATCTTGCTCTGACCTGTTTCTATAATTATGATTGGCTATAATCTTCCTCTGACCTGTTTCTATAATCTATGATTGGCTATAATCTTGCTCTGATTTGTGTCTATAATCTATGATTGGCTATAATCTTCCTCTGACCTGTTTCTATAATCTATGATTGGCTATAATCTTGCTCTGACCTGTGTCTATAATCTATGATTGGCTATAATCTTCCTCTGACCTGTTTCTATAATCTATGATTGGCTATAATCTTCCTCTGACCTGTGTCTATAATCTATGATTGGCTATAATCTTGCTCTGACCTGTGTCTATAATCTATGATTGTCTATAATCTTGCTCTGACCTGTGTCTATAATCTATGATTGGCTATAATCTTCCTCTGACCTGTGTCTATAATCTATGATTGGCTATAATCTTGCTCTGATTTGTGTCTATAATCTATGATTGGCTATAATCTTGCTCTGACCTGTTTCTATAATCTATGATTGGCTATAATCTTGCTCTGACCTGTGTCTATAATCTATGATTGGCTATAATCTTCCTCTGATTTGTGTCTATAATCTATGATTGGCTATAATCTTGCTCTGATTTGTGTCTATAATCTATGATTGGCTATAATCTTCCTCTGACCTGTTTCTATAATCTATGATTGGCTATAATCTTGCTCTGACCTGTTTCTATAATCTATGATTGGCTATAATCTTGCTCTGACCTGTTTCTATAATCTATGATTGGCTACAATCTTGCTCTGACTTGCTTCTATAATCTATGATTGGCTACAATCTTGCTCTGACCTGTGTCTATAATTTATGATTGGCTACAATCTTGCTCTGACCTGTTTCTATAATCTATGATTGGCTATAATCTTCCTCTGATTTGTGTCTATAATCTATGATTGGCTATAATCTTGCTCTGACCTGTTTCTATAATCTATGATTGGCTACAATCTTCCTCTGACCTGTTTCTATAATCTATGATTGGCTATAATCTTGCTCTGATTTGTGTCTATAATCTATGATTGGCTACAATCTTCCTCTGACCTGTTTCTATAATCTATGATTGGCTACAATCTTCCTCTGACCTGTTTCTATAATCTATGATTGGCTATAATCTTGCTCTGATTTGTGTCTATAATCTATGATTGGCTACAATCTTCCTCTGACCTGTTTCTATAATCTATGATTGGCTATAATCTTGCTCTGATTTTGTGTCTATAATCTATGATTGGCTACAATCTTCCTCTGACCTGTTTCTATAATCTATGATTGGCTACAATCTTCCTCTGACCTCTTTCTATAATCTATGATTGGCTATAATCTTGCTCTGACCTGTGTCTATATTTTATGACTGTCTACAATCTTCCTCTGACCTGTGTCTATAATCTATGACTGTCTATAATCTTCCTCTGATTTGTGTCTATAATCTATGACTGTCTACAATGTTCCTCTGATCCATGTCTACAATTTGTTATTTGACTTTAGGTTACTTTGAAACTATGGAATGCCCTTACGTAACTGTGTTATGAGGTGGAACAGAGTTTCTAGAATTAGCCTCTGTTTGATTCTTATCTGTGAGGTATTTACCCTGTCTCCACTGATACTTGTGTTTTAAAAGAAAAGTTGAGGTCAAATGTTTCTGTAAGCCTAAGTGGTAGAGGTCACAGGGTCATGACATGAGTCTTTCAATGCATATTTTTGTTTAGGCTTCATGAAGTGCTTTCCATTTAATGAATCACTGTGTTTGTGTTTACTGACATCTCTCTTTATATATCTATATATATTTTCAGGACTGATCCCACAGACTGCAATCATAGAGGCAATGAATGTGGGGTGTGGGGGAAGGGGCAGAAGTAATGATATGTAGGTCACACAATGATCAGCACTGACTTAGACTCCACACATCACTGGACACTACACTATCCTAGTTACACCTACAGGCTATGCTTCAATGAGGCAGCTGTGGTAGTAAAAGGGTTACGCGCTTATCTACTGCTTTATGCAAATAAATACTGACCTACACATAGTTCTACTCTGGCTTTATACAACTAGCTGACCAAGTGACCATAGTACACATCATGACCATACTAATGTGACACACAACTGACCTGTCACTGGGTAGCCTGCAGAACCCCAACAGTTCTCCGTGGCAGATGTCCGACTGACTGGACTCGGTTGACAGCTGACTGCCGTGACTGATGTCGGACATCTACGGAAACAAAGCCACAAGAAGCATACATCATTTCGGCCTGCACCTGCCAAGACTCAAGGTGAGGTATGAACAGTGAAGACATCACCCAGGTGTGTGTGCTCTCCACTGGGGATCCCTCTGTCCACCACTGTCAACATCCAGTACAACTCCCATACCTACAGCAGGCATTTCATCGTCCAACAATCAGTGTACATCAATTTCTCTCTTCTTCTTATATATTCATGCTTAACAAACAAAATATGATTGACAAGCTCTGGTGGTGGTGGTGCTGGTAGTGGTGTTGGTGGTGGTGTTGGTAGTGGTGCTGGTGGTGGTGTTGGTAGTGGTGCTGGTAGTGGTGCTGGTGGTGGTGTTGGTAGTGGTGTTGGTAGTGGTGCTGGTAGTGGTGCTGGTGGTGGTGTTGGTAGTGGTGTTGGTAGTGGTGCTGGTAGTGGTGTTGGTAGTTGTGCTGGTGGTGGTGCTGGTAGTTGTGCTGGTGGTGGTGCTGGTGGTGGTGTTGGTAGTGGTGCTGGTAGTGGTGTTGGTAGTTGTGCTGGTGGTGGTGCTGGTAGTTGTGCTGGTGGTGGTGCTGGTGGTGGTGTTGGTAGTGGTGCTGGTGGTGGTGTTGGTAGTGGTGTTGGTAGTGGTGCTGGTGGTGGTGCTGGTAGTGGTGTTGGTAGTGGTGCTGGTGGTGGTGCTGGTGGTGGTGTTGGTAGTGGTGTTGGTAGTGGTGTTGGTAGTGGTGTTGGTAGTGGTGTTGGTAGTGGTGTTGGTAGTGGTGTTGGTAGTGGTGTTGGTAGTGGTGCTGGTGGTGGTGTTGGTAGTGGTGCTGGTGGTGGTGTTGGTAGTGGTGTTGGTGGTGGTGTTGGTAGTGGTGCTGGTGGTGGTGCTGGTGGTGGTGTTGGTAGTGGTGTTGGTAGTGGTGTTGGTAGTGGTGCTGGTAGTGGTGTTGGTAGTGGTGCTGGTGGTGGTGTTGGTAGTGGTGCTGGTAGTGGTGTTGGTAGTGGTGCTGGTGGTGGTGTTGGTAGTGGTGTTGGTAGTGGTGCTGGTGGTGGTGTTGGTAGTGGTGCTGGTGGTGGTGTTGGTAGTGGTGCTGGTGGTGGTGCTGGTAGTGGTGCTGGTGGTGGTGTTGGTAGTGGTGCTGGTGGTGGTGTTGGTAGTGGTGTTGGTAGTGGTGCTGGTGGTGGTGTTGGTAGTGGTGTTGGTGGTGGTGCTGGTGGTGGTGTTGGTAGTGGTGTTGGTGGTGGTGCTGGTGGTGGTGTTGGTAGTGGTGTTGGTGGTGGTGCTGGTGGTGGTGTTGGTAGTGGTGTTGGTGGTGGTGCTGGTGGTGGTGTTGGTAGTGGTGTTGGTGGTGGTGCTGGTGGTGGTGTTGGTAGTGGTGTTGGTGGTGGTGCTGGTGGTGGTGTTGGTAGTGGTGTTGGTAGTGGTGCTGGTGGTGGTGTTGGTAGTGGTGTTGGTGGTGGTGCTGGTGGTGGTGTTGGTAGTGGTGCTGGTGGTGGTGCTGGTGGTGGTGTTGGTGGTGGTGCTGGTGGTGGTGCTGGTGGTGGTGTTGGTGGTGGTGCTGGTGGTGGTGCTGGTGGTGGTGTTGGTGGTGGTGTTGGTGGTGGTGCTGGTGGTGGTGCTGGTGGTGGTGTTGGTGGTGGTGCTGGTGGTGGTGTTGGTAGTGGTGTTGGTAGTGGTGCTGGTGGTGGTGTTGGTAGTGGTGTTGGTGGTGGTGCTGGTGGTGGTGTTGGTAGTGGTGTTGGTGGTGGTGCTGGTGGTGGTGTTGGTAGTGGTGTTGGTGGTGGTGCTGGTGGTGGTGTTGGTAGTGGTGTTGGTGGTGGTGCTGGTGGTGGTGTTGGTAGTGGTGTTGGTGGTGGTGCTGGTGGTGGTGTTGGTAGTGGTGCTGGTGGTGGTGCTGGTAGTGGTGCTGGTGGTGGTGTTGGTAGTGGTGCTGGTGTCTACTCCCCCCCCCCCCCCCCCAACATAATCCTCTTTAAAATGAGGCCACACAACCACAAGGGACTCCAACCATTTGAATTCTTGCCAGATAAACATGCCGCAGAAACAAGAACTCTTCATAAAATATACATGAGCAACATAAAGCCTTTCAACATCAGACGGCATCAATGAATTGGAACATGTTTTGGAAGAAAAGCAAGAAAAAATGTTTGAATGAGGAGAATAAGGTCAGACTATTACAATGCTTTAGGTAGATACAAGAACACAGCTTTCTGTCTTAGGAAGTGACTGAGGGAAATGTGAACGGAAGTTGTGCAAGAGGAAGACAGTGTTACAAGCGGGTAAAAAACGAAGAAGTGCATCAGAGGCTGCCCTGCCTCGGGAGTATGGGTAGCAGATAAATGTCAGAACTGTCCAGGAATTGTTTGAAACAATCATGGAGGGAAGTGGACACACAGACACACCACCTCATCATGTCCTTGTCTAAAATATGTGATTGTCTGTATGGAAATATGTGATTGCTTGAAATATTTGAATGTGTAAAATATGTGATTTTGAAATATGTAATTGTGTAAAATGCGTGATTTTCTAAGATGCATAAGTGTAAAACATGCCCACTTTCTAAACTATGTGACTATCTCAAAAATGTGATTGCCTAAAATATGTGACCAACCCCCAGCATTCAATGGCTGCTTGTGCTTTACTAGGAAATTATACGTCCAGTTAATACCACTGTCAAACAAGCAATACATAACAAGACTGCTGCTAAAACAGCTGCAGTATGTTGAAATTATGAAACTGCTGATAACCTCTAAACCACAGGTGTTGACCTGTAACAGGGACGGCATTCACAGACCGTTTGTTCAAAGAGGTCACAGTGGCAAAGTGATCAACCTGTTTGCCTCATACTCTGAAGGTCATAGGTTTAATACATGGCTGCATTGTTTGGTTCACAAGTGCAGTTTTTATGGAGTGAAAAACAAAAGTGAAAGCTACGGGAGCACTCGTACTTGATATTCTGAAGACCATATATGAACAACTGTTGACAGAAGTCAGGAGATTAGATGAAATAACATGGGCAAGAATGTGTGAACAAGGAATTAGGCATGGACTGGACAAAGAAGGACAGATGAGAGGAAGAGAACGATGCGTGTACAATCAGTGTGCTACGGGAGCAGTTAGAATTTACACCTTAAAACATTTGCTGCGGGAGACGGAGCATCAATGGGTATGCCCGGTGTGCTATGATGTCGATTCTTGAATCAGTAATCAGTCATTTTTACGGTGACTGATTGGGACCCTCACAGGAGCTATAGAGTTTGCGCTTTGTGTTATACTCTCGGCAGGTGGCTAGCCCCTCTGCGGAGAAAGATCAGCCATATGGGATAAAACCCAGTGCAATAAAATCGATCCTCTCAAGTTCTAACTTTAACTGGTGCCGTGACTTACCCGCTTCATTTTGATGGGCAGTGACTGCATGGTGGAGAGTAGTTCCATAGAGCCTCCACTGAGAGAAGAGTCGGAGGAGATGTCGGAGAACACAGAGATGGTGTTGGATCTGGGGTAGAAGAGCTCCCGCTGGTGCTGTTGCCATTGGGCCTCGTAGAACTGGATGGAGTGTCGGGAGATGGATTCCTCCAGGGCAGTGGGCTGTGTGACAGCTCCAAACATCTGCACATAGGCTTGCACTGTAATTAGCAGATGGTAACTGTCACTGCAAGGTTCCACATGAAACATATGGCTGGCACAAGCAAGATGTATGTGGATATGGCTGGCACAAGCAAGATGTGTGTGGATATGGCTGGCACAAGCAAGATGTATGAGGATATGGCTGGTACAAGCAAGATGTGTGTGGATATGGCTGGCACAAGCAAGATGTATGAGGATATGACTGGCACAAGCAAGATGTGTGTGGATATGGCTGGCACAAGCAAGATGTATGAGGATATGACTGGCACAAGCAAGATGTGTGTGGATATGGCTGGCACAAGCAAGATGTATGAGGATATGGCTGGCACAAGCAAGATGTGTGTGGATATGGCTGGCACAAGCAAGATGTATGAGGATATGGCTGGCACAAGCAAGATGTGTGTGGATATGGCTGGCACAAGCAAGATGTATGAGGATATGGCTGGCACAAGCAAAATGTATGAGGATATGGCTGGCACAAGCAAGATGTATGAGGATATGGCTGGCACAAGCAAAATGTGTGTGGATATGGCTGGCACAAGCAAGATGTGTGTGGATATGGCTGGCACAAGCAAGATGTATGTGGATATAGCTGGCACAAGCAAGATGTATGTAGCACTGTACAGTTTCCAGAGAGCTCAATCCTTAGAGACTGGAGTTATATGATTATAATTTTGGCTTGCATCCAATTATAAAATAGCTTCTAGAACTGACTTTCCTTTGATTTTTCTCTGTAAACCAGTTTATGAAAATTTTTCTCACATTTCCTGAAAAGACCTGTTTTTTTTAATCCTTCTGAAATGTAGTAACTTTTTCCCTCTGCTCTGGAAAACGCGCTGCCTGGAGTCTAGTTTACATTTGTATTTATTATTTTTATTAATACCACAGTGCACAGGTGACCAGGCCTGTTAAAAACCTTCTGTTCTACAGCCAATTATTTCCAATAGAGATGTTAAACCTACTATATCTTTAAGTATCCTCTCTATGTATCCCCTTCACTCTTCCTCTCCCTCACCTTCAAACTTATCTTTATCTTTAAGTATCCTCTCTATGTATCCCCTTCACTCTTCCTCTCCTTCGAACTTATCTTTTGTCACAACACATTCCAGATTTCCCCTGCTTATAATGCTCCCCCCCCCCCCTCTTTTTTTCTTCTCCCTGTAGTAATGTCTTCTTCTTCTTCTTCATGTTCACCAGTTGTAAACTTTGACAGAAAGTTCTGGCCGCTTGTCATTCTGGACTGTTAGTCTTGTTGCAGAACTTGAGTGTTGCAAGCACATGTTTCTGACAGATCTGGCTTATCTGTCTACAGACCGTTGGATCCTTGCCTCTCCAGCAGATGCACTCCAATTTGCAGGAAACCACTAATTAGTCCATGTTTATGACATGCTTGTTAAGGAGGCAGTGGGTCTATTTTCCTAATAACCAGAGGCCCGGAACCAACAAGGGGGAGCCATGTGTTCAAATCCTCAAATCAGACATATTTGTCTTCTTGGCTGCCAGGTTGTATACACAGCCTAAAATAAGCACCAGGAAATGTTCTGGGAAATCAATCTTCCAGACTGATGATGATAGACATAAATCTAGTGCAACTGTTTTATAAAAATGTGAGATAAACACCATATAGTCCAATCCAACACACAAGATATTAGACAAAGAGCAGATTTCACAATTTATATGCTGGCATTCCTGTGTGTGTTCTGGTTCTTATTGTGTGTGTGTGTGTGTGTGTGTGTGTGTGTGTGTGTGCGTGCGTGCGTGTGTGTGTGTGTGCATGCATGCATGCATGTGAGCGCATTGTGTGTGTGTTTTGGTGGGGAGGGGGCATAGACCTACTGACTCATAAAAGTCGACTAATCAGGAGTTTCCTGATCTGTAAAACAGATGTGCACACAAAACTGAAGTTCTGAAACAAGATTAAAGTCCAGAACAGCCAGAACTTTCCACAGGATTTAATGATGAACACAAAGTGGAACAAGAAGAAGAAGAAGAGGAAGAAGAAGAAGAAGATATGCTGGTAACAGTTAACAATATGTCTCATCAGGTGCATAATACAGGAATAAATAACGTGAAGCAAACAATTGGACAATACATGAGACAGAAGGCTGAAGACAGTCACGACTACCAACACCACACCCATCAGAAAGCAAAACCTGCTTGAAGGTGTTTATGTCTGCCTGCAGTATGTTGCTAAACAAATCTTGTTTACACAGATACATAAGTTTTGCCCCAAACCATGCTTGACTTGGACAGTGCAAATCTGTTGACATGTACCTACTGGTCCATCCGGTTATCCTCAGATACATAATTATCAAGTGCCTTACTGCCTGGGTTATAAGTCATCATCCTTCTCTACAAAAGTAAGTATTCACAACAGGTCTCATGTGATGTCCCCCTCGGCATACGCTGATACAAGGCTGGTAAGGAAGGAGCAGCAGCAATAGTAGCAGCAGAGGAAGAAGAGGAGGAGACTCACCATGTTTCTTCTTTGGTGGCAGTGGTGGAGGTTTAGGCAAAGATTCTGTGCTGGAGTGGCTTGTGGATGAGAAGGTTTCCGAGCTTGAGTATGTCTCCTGCGAACTGGCCCTCTCCTCAGTCAGAAAAGACTGCATGGACCTTTGACTGTTGGCAACACACACACAAAAAAGACAGAATGAAACAGTGACGGAGGTACAAGTTTGACAACTACTAAGTTCGGTTATATCACTGCTCCCTAGATAAAATTATAAGTGCTATCTCCTCAGTAAAAATCCATATGCCTACAATAACTGTGTCAATTGAATGTTCAGCCAGGGGCAAACTCACGATCCTGGGTTGAATAGATCAACCATCAGCTAAATGAGGTCACTATTGGTTGTCACTACCAGGAACAGGTGGTTATAGACAGTTCACTGAGGCACCAGTTCCTATTGTAGGGAGAAACCAGCTGACATATCTCTGAGGGTCAAGGGATCTGGGCTTCTACTTATTAACTGTCCAGAATTCACAGCTGTAGGGAGAAACCAGCTGACATATCTCTGAGGAGTAAAGGGATTTGGGCTTCTACTTATTAACTGTCCAGAATTCACAGCTGTAGGGAGAAACCAGCTGACATATCTCTGAGGAGTCAAGGGATTTGGGCTTCTACTTATTAACTGTCCAGAATTCACAGCTGTAGGGAGAAACAAGCTGATATATCTCTGAGGAGTCAAGGGATCTGGGCTTCTACTTATTAACTGTCCAGAATTCACAGCTGTAGGGAGAAACAGGCTGACATATCTCTGAGGAGTAAAGAGATCTGGGCTTCTACTTATTAACTGTCCAGAATTCACAGCTGTAGGGAGAAACAGGCTGACATATCTCTGAGGAGTAAAGGGATTTGGGCTTCTACTTACTAACTGTCCAGAATTCACAGCTGTAGGGAGAAACAAGCTGACATATCTCTGAGGAGTAAAGAGATTTGGGCTTCTACTTACTAACTGTCCAGAATTCACAGCTGTAGGGAGAAACAAGCTGACATATCTCTGAGGAGTAAAGAGATTTGGGCTTCTACTTATTAACTGTCCAGAATTCACAGCTGTAGGGAGAAACCAGCTGACATATCTCTGAGGAGTAAAGAGATTTAGGCTTCTACTTACTAACTGTCCAGAATTCACAGCTGTAGGGAGAAACAAGCTGACATATCTCTGAGGAGTAAAGGGATTTGGGCTTCTACTTACTAACTGTCCAGAATTCACAGCTGTAGGGAGAAACAAGCTGACATATCTCTGAGGAGTAAAGAGATTTAGGCTTCTACTTACTAACTGTCCAGAATTCACAGCTGTAGGGAGAAACAAGCTGACATATCTCTGAGGAGTAAAGGGATTTGGGCTTCTACTTACTAACTGTCCAGAATTCACAGCTGTAGGGAGAAACAAGCTGACATATCTCTGAGGAGTAAAGAGATTTAGGCTTCTACTTACTAACTGTCCAGAATTCACAGCTGTAGGGAGAAACAAGCTGACATATCTCTGAGGAGTAAAGGGATTTGGGCTTCTACTTACTAACTGTCCAGAATTCACAGCTGTAGGGAGAAACCAGCTGACATATCTCTGAGGAGTCAAGGGATTTGGGCTTCTAATGACTAACTGTCCAGAATTCACAGCTGTAGGGAGAAACAGGCTGACATATCTCTGAGGAGTCAAGGGATTTGGGCTACTAATGACTAACTGTCCAGGATCCACAGCTGTGGATAGAATTCAACCACATCCTCTGGCATGACTGATCAGTGAAAAAAAGAGGCTCAGAAATATCTAATACTTTGATTACATGAGAGACAGATCTGTAAAACAGATATGCATACAAAATTCAAGTTCTGGAACAAGAGTAAAGTCCATAAGTGGTCGAACAACCAGAACTTTCCACCAGAGATTACAGTTGCTGAGCGTTAAGAAGAAGAAGAAGAATTCCAAAATTAGTTTTCTAAAATGTTTAACAAGTCTCAAAACCTACTTTTGGTTGGAGTGGCTGGACTGGGAACTAGATGTTGATGAGGAAGAGATTCTCTCAACTTTGCGGGTGTAAAGTGTTCTCTGCTGGGAGGTGACCGATGACAACGCTGCCATCCTCTCCTCCAAGAGCTCTGGTACATTGTCATACTGAGAGTTGAGTCGGTGCAGTATCTGGTTCTTCTTGGCTGGCAGCGGAGGGGGGGTCTCCTCGATACAGTTGGTCAGTTGCTTGATCTGTGAGGTCAGCTCGTTGATCTCATCACAGGTCTTGCCCATGACTTTCCCAGACATCACAGTGCTGCTGACCAGCTTGGAGTCGCTGACCGTTCTAGAAAATGTCTGACTCATGGTTTTTCCTTTCTCTAGTTGTTGCTCTTGCCAATGGGCTGATGATATCGAGGAAGACGATGAGGATGATGAGGAGGTTATCAAGTCTCCTGTGGAGCGGTGGTTTATTAGAGGGAATGAAGATGCTGATGTGGAAGAAGGGAGACTGGACCTGCTTGTTGGCGGACCCATGCTGCTGTGGTTGAAAACATTACCCCCACATATCACAGAGCTGGTGGGCGTGGTGGGTGGCACCACACGCCCGGAGAGAGTTTCTAAGATTTCTGTGCTGGAACTTGGAGATCGCTTCTTCTGTGGAAGAGGTGGTGGCAGCAACGGATCCTGTACATGAACATCCTGACAGTTCCTGGGGACACAAGTGGAGACAAGCTGAACTGGTTATCTCTCTTGTCTATGTATAAGCTAATAATAATATATAATTGTAACATGGAGTTGTAGTTGTAGTCATCAAGTTATCACATATAGAAAAGTCTTCCACAAATATAGCATGGGATTCCAGGACCATCATGTTTAGTGTGTTTTTTCTGAGATGCTGAGCTCTCATCCTTTCTGCAATCACTTCTTCCTTCGTTCTCATTCCCTTCCTGAAGTGCCCACTGCAAACAACAGGATCCATGGTTCTGCAGTATTACTGCATACAGATCTAGACAACACCTTAGTTACGTGATCAACCTAGCTAAGCTCTGCCTAATTCTGGCACTTTATGCCAACAGAAAATCATACTCAAGTTACTCTATATAAACACGAGACAGGACAACATAGAAGAGGTGACACAGTACCTGTGTAACAAGACGTTGCTGCCAGGAGGCAAGGGTGGCTTGGGTGGGGGTGAATCTGTGCAGTCAGTGGAAGGGTCGTAAGAGAAGACAGAACTGGTATTGCTGTTGCGGGCCAAGGATGCCATGTTGTCATAGTTAGTTATCTCATTGCTGGTCTGGGCCAGAATCTCCTGTTCTCGAGGGGTCAGTGGGATGTCTGGAAGTGGTCCGTGTTTGCACCTGTGGAATATTTCAGCGACAGCAACATCAGTACCACCAACAACTGCATCGCAGGAAACAGCAACATCAGTACCATCAATAACTGTTTCGCAGGAAACGACATCATCAGTAGCTTACAGCATAAATACTGTAAAATATGTTAGTAACACCAACAACAGCACAACCAACAAGAGTATACCCAAGAGCAATGAAAATACCAACAACACCACAGTCATCAACAAGCACAGTGAACACCAATACCACTAATACCTGTATCCCACAACACCTGTATCACCGCAACAACACCTGTATCACCACAACAACACCTGTATCACCACAACAACACCTGTATCACCAACAACACTTGTATCACCACAACATCACCCATATCACCAACAGACCTACAACACCAACAATATGTGTATTATAAAAAACAGATGTCTCACCAACAACACCTTTATCACCAACAATAATACCTGTATGACCAACGACTGCATTCCCAACACATGTATCACCAACAACAACTTCTGTATCACCAACAACAAATTCTGTATTACCAATAACAACATCTGTAGCACTAACACCTGCATAACTAACACATGTATCATCCACAACACCTTCAACATCAACTACAACAACTGCATCATCAACAACAACTCCTAAATAATCAACACCTGCATCACCATGAACAACACCTGTATCACCAACAACAACACCTGTATCCCAACAACAGTACCTGTATCACCAACACAACACCCGCATCACCAACAACAAAGGCTGTATCACCAACAAAAACACCAACATCACCTGTATCACCAACAACACCCACACCACCAAGAACATCAGTACTATAACAAGCAGAAAGAGAGAAGCATACAACAGATAGCAGACAACTGTACTGAAGGTACCTACCCGTCATGTGATGGGGATGCCAGAGGCTGGTTGGTTATTGGAGCTGGAAGACTGCTCTTTTTCTGGGACATCTTTTCCATGCCAAGGGTTGTCAGCTCCTGCAATCACACAATCAGACAATTAAGCAACAATCAATACATACAACTGTCAGTTAATGAAACAAGGGTTTTATGATCCCTTGGAAATTCCCTTAAAAAAAATTATCTTAGCTATTTTACACAGTACAGCGATACATTTTTTTTTTTTAAACTTCATTTATCTTCATTTTTTCTCTGGAAAAATATGAATATTTAGAATATGAGTAATCAATGAATATGAAGAGAGTAAGAGAAGTATTGAATGGAATACATTAACGGGGCCCCCCAAAAAACATCCATATCGGCCGACTGATTGTGTGACACCCTGACCTCTAACACTAAGGCTATAAGCAAATTTCACTTCATGGCTTTATACAACAAGCCTTTGGTTCATTAGAAAAACCTAACTAAATGCTACTCCAAAGTACTTCCACTGAATGTTGCCATGATGAAGTAATTGTCTCCTATCTTGGCTTCACAGGTGGCACAGACATGCTTCACCATCATATTTAACCCTCAAGCAATGTCTCTATTGAACAGACCAACAGGTACAGACAGGCTTCACCATCATATCTCACCCTCCAGCAATGTCTCTATTGTACAGACCAACAGGTACAGACATGCTTCACCATCGTATCTCACCCTCTAGCAATGTCTCTATTAAACAGACCAACAGGTACAGACAGGCTTCACCATCATATCTCACCCTCCAGCAATGTCTCTATTGAACAGACCAACAGGTACAGACATGCTTCACCATCGTATTTCACCCTCTAGCAATGTCTCTATTGAATTGACCAACAGGTACAGACATGCTTCACCATCATATCTCACCCTCCAGCAATGTCTCTATTGAATAGACCAACAAGTACAGACATGCTTCACTGTCGTATCTCGCCCTCCAGCAATGTCTCTAATGAACAGACCAACAGTTACAAACATGCTTCACCATCATATCTCACCGTCCAGCAATGTCTCTATTGAACAGACCAACAGGCACAGACAGACTTTACCATTGTATCTCACTCTCAAGCAATGTCTCAAATGAACAAACAACAGTTACAGACAGGCTTCACCATCGTATCTCACCCTCCAGCAATGTCTCTATTGAATAGACCAACAGGCACACACAGAGGCAGCCAGTGTTTGCTACTGTGGCTATCAACTGGTGGTTCCGAGACTACACTGAAAGTATACACAGGTAAGATGCCAGCAGTGCAGTCTGTGTGGTGTCTGTTTTGTGTGTGTACACGTGCACATGAGTGTGCATGCAATATGACATTCACATTGCAAAAGAAAGCAAATACAAGATTGAAGACGTATAACATAGTTGGGGCTGAGTTACAGCAACAAGGAGAGGAAGAAACAAATAGCAGTAAGAGAAAGAAAGAAAGAGAGAGAGAGGGGAGGGAGACAAAGAGAAAGGGCTCGGAGGCAGTGAGGCGGACATAGTAGTGAGCGGAACGGTGAACGAGAAATGTCTGAATGAGTGGAGGCAGACCTGAATTCCCTCCAGCAGAGTGTCGATGATGCTGTGGGCTTGCTGTTGGTCCCAGGTCTTGTTGATGCCCACCAGCGAGTCATCTGTCCACTGGATGAACTTGGCTAGATGCTGGCAGACTTTGCTCTGACTGGACACCAGCGAGTTGCTGCAGGATCAACAAATAAACATTCATCAATCACCAGTGTCAGGAAAGACCATCAGTGTCAGGGAAGATCACCAGTGTCAGGGAAGATCACCAGTGTCAGGGAAGACCATCAGTGTCAGGGAAGATCATCAGTGTCAGGGAAGATCACCAGTGTCAGGGAAGATCATCAGTGTCAGGAAAGATCATCAGTGTCAGGAAAGATCACCAGTGTCAGGGAAGATCACCAGTGTCAGGGAAGATCACCAGTGTCAGGGAAGACCATCAGTGTCAGGGAAGATCACCAGTGTCAGGGAAGATCACCAGTGTCAGGGAAGATCACCAGTGTCAGGGAAGATCACCAGTGTCAGGGAAGACCATCAGTGTCAGGGAAGATCACCAGTGTCAGGGAAGATCACCAGTGTCAGGGAAGATCACCAGTGTCAGGGAAGATCACCAGTGTCAGGGAAGATCACCAGTGTCAGGGAAGATCACCAGTGTCAGGGAAGATCATCAGTGTCAGGGAAGATCACCAGTGTCAGGGAGGATCAAGGGTGTAAGGGAAGATCATCAGCACCAGGGAAGATCATCAGCGTCAGGGAAGATCATCAGCACCAGGGAAGATCATCAGTGTCAGGGAAGATCATCAGCGTCAGGAAAGATCATCGGTGTCAGGGAAGATCAAGGGTGTCAGGGAAGATCACCAGTGTCAGGGAAGATTATCAGCATCAGGGAAGATCATCAGTGTCAGGGAAGATCAAGGATGTCAGGGAAGATCATCAGCATCAGGGAAGATCATCAGTGTCAGGGAAGATCAAGGATGTCAGGGAAGATCATCAGTGTCAGGGAAGATCATCAGCATCAGGGAAGATAATCAGTGTCAGGGAGGATCAAGGGTGTAAGGGAAGATCATCAGCACCAGGGAAGATCATCAGTGCCAAGGAAGATCATCGGTGTCAGGGAAGATCATAGTGTCAGGGATGATCATAAGTGTCAGGGAAGATCATCAGTGTCAGGGATGATGATAAGTGTCAGGGATGATCATAAGTGTCAGGGAAGGTCATCAGTGTCAGGGAAGATTATCGGTGTCAGGGAAGATCATCAGTTAGTTAGTTAGATAGTTGGGTTATCATCATTGCACTCCTGACATGTCCATAGGTGCTCAAATCCTTCCCTCAGTATGAACCCCAACGTCCGATGGCTAATAGTACCAGTTCTACGTTGATTAATAAGTCTTCTGGTGTGTCTGGTGTGCGTCTCGTTTTTTGCTATGCCTATCTTAATTCCCAAGTCTACCATTCTGGCCAGTGATGTGCTCGCTGCCCCCAAAGTCCTCTATCCTTTCAAATTTCTCTGAGGGCATTAATAATATCAGCATGATCCATAGGCTGACCGTCAGTAGTGATAGCAGATCCAACCAACCTGTCAGCTCTTTCATTTCCATTGACGTCTGCATATCCCGGAACAAAAATAGTTGACTCCATGCACAGTGGACTTCTGTAATGATTCAAGCCTTTGTCTTCGCACCGAACCCTCCGGATCATACTCAATGAATCACTAAGTTTACATATGTGGGTGTATTTTTGTGTTTTGAGCCAGGCGAACACTTGCCTCGCCGCCATCGCCACCATCTTCATGCTGCTGGTTGTCATGGAGAAGGCGCCGTTGGTTTCTTTGACTGTTCTGCCTGCTGAGCGTGCTGTGAATGCCCATGTACTTCTTTTTTGGTGTATAACGAATCCGTCTGTATAGATTATTGCATCTGCTTTGTCTGAATTTTCACTGATGAGAGTGTTGACCTCTGCATTAACAGCAACAGGATTCTCTTCTCTACATCGCCTGTTGAGTGTGGCAATACAGGAAAATGTACAAATAAACGCAGGTGTCAGGGAAGATAAGATCATCAGTGTCATGTAAGATCATCAGTGTGATGGAAGATCATCAGTGTCAGGGAAGATCATCAGTGTCAGGGAAGATCATCAGTGTCAGGGAAGATCATCAGTGTCAGGAAAGATCATCAGTGTCAGGGAAGATCATCAGTGTCAGGGAAGATCATCAGTGTCAGGGAAGATGATCAATGTCAGGGAAAATCATCAGTGTCAGGGAAGATAATCGGTGTCAGGGAAGATCATCGGTGTCAGGGAAGATCATCGGTGTCAGGGAAGATCACCAGTGTCAGGGAAGATCACCAGTGTCAGGGAAGATCATCAGTGTCAGGAAAGATCATCAGTGTCAGGGAATATCATCGATGTCAGGGAAGATCACCAGTGTCAGGGAAGATCATCAGTGTCAGGGAAGATCACCGGTGTCAAAGAAGATCTCCGGTGTCAGGGAAGATCACTGGTGTCAGGGAAGATCACTGGTGTCAGGGAAGATCACTGGTGTCAGGGAAGATCATCAGTGTCAGGGAAGATCATCAGTGTCAGGGAAGATCATCAGTGTCAGGGAAGATCATCAGTGTTAGGGAAGATCATCAGTGTCAGGGAAGATCATCAGTCTCAGGGAAGATCCTCAGTTTTAACCAGCAACCATAATAACTGATGTTAACCTCACATTCAGAAAAAAGTATACTGATCTTGAAGCACATTTGATCTTATCCCTACATTTATTATAATAATATAATAGACTGTTAATAGGTGTGGGCATAATTGCAGCACATGTTGATGTCCCCTCTGTCAGAGACTGGTCTGTGCTTGTTGGTGTCCCCTCTGTCAGAGACTGGTCTGTACTTGTTGATGTGTCCTCTCTGTCAGAGACTTGACTGTGCTTGTTATTGTGTCCCCTCTGTCAGAGACTGGTCTGTGCTTATTTTGGTGTCCCCTCTGTCAGAGACTGGTCTGTGCTTGTTATTGTGTCCTCTCTGTCAGAGACTGGTCTGTGCTTGTTAGTGTGTCCTCTCTGTCAGAGACTGGTCTGTGCTTGTTAGTGTGTCCACTCTGTCAGAGACTGGTCTGTGCTTGTTGGTGTGTCCTCTCTGTCAGAGACTGGTCTGTGCTTGTTAGTGTGTCCCCTCTGTCAGAGACTGGTCTGTGCTTGTTGGTGTGTCCCCTCTGTCAGAGACTGGTCTGTGCTTGTTGGTGTGTCCTCTCTGTCAGAGACTGGTCTGTGCTTGTTGGTGTGTCCTCTCTGTCAGAGACTGGTCTGTGCTTGTTGGTGTGTCCCCTCTGTCAGAGACTGGTCTGTGCTTGTTAGTGTGTCCCCTCTGTCAGAGACTGGTCTGTGCTTGTTGGTGTGTCGTCTCTGTCAGAGACTGGTCTGTGCTTGTTGGTGTGTCCCCTCTGTCAGAGACTGGTCTCTGCTTGTTATTGTGTCCCCTCTGTCAGAGACTGGTCTGTGCTTGTTGGTGTGTCCTCTCTGTCAGAGACTGGTCTGTGCTTGTTGGTGTGTCCCCTCTGTCAGAGACTGGTCTCTGCTTGTTATTGTGTCCCCTCTGTCAAAGACTGGTCTGTGCTTGTTGGTGTGTCGTCTCTGTCAGAAACTGTTCTGTGCTTGTTATTGTGTCCCCTCTGTCAGAGACTTGTCTGTGCTTGTTATTGTGTCCACTCTGTCAGAGACTGGTCTGTACTTGTTATTGTGTCCTCTTTGTCAGAGACTGGTCTGTGCTTGTTATTGTGTCCCCTCTGTCAGAGATTTGTCTGTGCTTGTTGGTGTGTTCTCTCTGTCAGAGACTGGTCTGTGCTTGTTATTGTGTCCTTTCTGTCAGAGACTGGTCTATGCTTGTTATTGTGTCCCCTCTGTCAGAGACCGGTCTGTGCTTGTTATTGTGTCCCCTCTGTCAGAGACTGGTCTGTGCTTGTTAGTGTGTCCTCTCTGTCAGGGACTGGTCTGTGCTTGTTGATGTGTCCTCTCTGTCAGAGACTGGTCTGTGCTTGTTAGTGTGTCCTCTCTGTCAGGGACTGGTCTGTGCTTGTTGGTGTGTCCCCTCTGTCAGACTGGTCTGTGCTTGTTGGTGTGTCCCCTCTGTCAGAGACTGGTCTGTGCTTGTTATTGTGTCCCCTCTGTCAGAGACTGGTCTGTGCTTGTTATTGTGTCCTCTCTGTCAGAGACTGGTCTGTGCTTGTTATTGTGTCCTCTCTGTCAGAGACTGGTCTGTGCTTGCTAGTGTGTCCTCTCTGTCAGAGACTGGTCTGTGCTTGTTGATGTGTCCCCTCTGTCAGAGACTGGTCTGTGCTTGTTGGTGTGTCCCCTCTGTCAGAGACTGGTCTGCGCTTGTTGGTGTTTCCTCTGCCCTTATTTGTGTTTAAATGATGAGCTCGGTGGAGGGATAGTGCCATTCTGATATTGACAGTACATGGCATAAGTGACTGACATCATGTGATCTTCATGGGACAAGTCATATCCTAGTTCTACCTCTCTCTCTCTGCTCCTCCATCTCTGTGTTCATCTCCTTCTGTGTGTGTGTATGTGTGTGTGTGCGTGTGTGTGTACGTGCGTGTATGTATGCATTCATGTGTGTGCGACATTCTCTCAGAAACAGACAATAGGTTTTTTCAGACTGTCTCTGATGTTGTTGTGCTAATGCATTTTAAGTTGAAGTGGAAACAAAAGTTGGCAAGTTATACGCATGCAAGCACACAGGCACACACACTTAATCTGACAGATGTTCACTTGCAATGGAGAGTGGGGAACTGGTATACATCCAGAAAGATGACTGTGTCATGGAGACACCAACAAAAGACAAGGAACTTGTCAACTGAGAAGATCAACACAGAAGCAGCACAAACCTCTCATGGGCCAGCTTGGGATACCTCAACAAGGTGAAGATCTGCATCACTGTCTCCAGGATGACCGAGGCAGAACCGGGCAGCACTTCCAGCTTTCCTTTACTGACCACAGCCTTGATGAAGATGAGAGTCTTGTTGACTTCTGCCAGAGCAGCTTTTAGGGATTCCATGTCCTGTACACACATACAACAATTTTGTAGATGCAGACAAGAATACACTCTGATGTCTCACTGATACGTGTAAACCCTGATGTCTTATAGACACGTATAATCCTCATGTCCCATAGACAGATATAAACCTGATATCTCACAAACACATACAAACACTCATATACACACATTAACCCTCATGTTCCACAGACAAGTATAAACCAGATGTTTCACAGACATGTATAAACCATGATGTCTTACAGACAAAGATTAAACCTCATGTCTCACAGACAAGTATTAAGCCTCATGTCTCACAGACAAGTAATAAAAAATCATGTCTCACAGACAAGTATTAAACCTCGTGTCTCACAGACAAGTATTCAAACCTCATGTCTCACAGACAAGTATTAAACCTCAAGTCTAGCAGACAAGTATTCAAACCTCATGTCTGACAGACAAGTATTAAACCTCATGTCTAGCAGACAAGTATTCAAACCTCATGTCTCACAGACAAGTATTCAAACCTCATGTCTCACAGACAGGTATTAAACCTCATGTCTAGCAGACAAGTATTAAACCTCATGTCTAGCAGACAAGTATTCAAACCTCATGTCTAGCAGACAAGTTTTAAACCTCATGTCTAGCAGACAAATATTCAAACCTCATGTCTGACAGACAAGTATAACCCTCATGTCTCACAGACTTCTCCCTATATGTCCACACCCCTTTCTACATGTCCACACCCCTCTCTATATGCCCTCACTTCTCTTTATATGCCCTCACTTCTCCCTATATGCCCTCACTTCTCCCTATATGTCCACACTTCTCCCTATATGTCCACACTTTCTCCCTATATGTCCACACTTCACCCTATATGTCCACACTTCACCCTATATGTCCACACTTCTCCCTATATGTCCACACTTCTCCCTATATGTCCACACTTCTCCCTATATGTCCACACTTCTCCCTATATGTCCACACTTCTCCCTATATGCCCAGACTTCTCCCTATATGTCCAGACTTCTCCCTATATGCCCAGACTTCTCCCTATATGTCCACACTTCTCCCTATATGTCCACACTTCTCCCTATATGTCCACACTTCTCCCTATATGTCCACACTTCTCCCTATATGTCCACACTTCTCCCTATATGTCCACACTTCTCCCTATATGTCCACACTTCTCCCTATATGTCCACACTTTTCCCTATATGCCCACACTTTTCCCTATATGCCCAGACTTTTCCCTATATGCCCAGACTTCTCCCTATATGTCCACACTTTTCCCTTATGTCCACACTTCTCCCTTATGTCCACATTTCTCCCTTATGTCCACATTTCTCCCTTATGTCCACACTTCTCCCTTATGTCCACACTTTTCCCTATATGTCCACACTTTTCCCTTATGTCCACACTTTTCCCTTATGTCCACACTTTTCCCTTATGTCCACACTTTTCCCTTATGTCCACACTTTTCCCTTATGTCCACACTTTTCCCTTATGTCCACACTTTTCCCTTATGTCCACACTTTTCCCTTATGTCCACACTTTTCCCTTATGTCCACACTTTTCCCTTGTGTCCACACTTCTCCCTATATGTCCACACTTCTCCCTATATGTCCACACTTCTCCCTATATGCCCACACTTCACCCTATATGCCCACACTACTCCCCATATGCCAACAATTTTTCATATACGCCCATATTCTCCCTTTATGCCTACATTTTTCCCTAAATGCCTATAATATTTTCTACATACCTGTTGAAATTTCTTTCTACACAGCTACAACAGGCATATGCCCTAATTCTCCACACACAGTGCACACATTTCTCCACATACAATGCCCATGTTTCTCCACACACAATGCCCATGTTTCTCCACACACAATGCCCATGTTTCCCCACACACACAATGTCTATGTTTCTCCACACACAATGCCCATGCTTCCCCACACAATGCCCATGCTTCACCACACACAATGCCCATGCTTCCCCACACACAATGCCCATGTTTCTCCACACACAATGCCCATGTTTCCCCACACACAATGGCCATGTTTCTCCACACACAATACCCATGTTTCCCCACACACACAATGCCCATGCTTCCCCACACACAATGCCCATATTTCCCCACACACAATGCCCAGACCAAACATATACCTTTTCTTCTGGTGCCTCCTGCACATTGAGGACAACCACCTCTGGAATGTTTTTATCTGTTTTTTTGGCAAGGAGTTTTGCAGGGCTCTCTTTGAAAAACATGTTTCCACTCCAATGGTTTAACCCAGAAATGGCAATATCACAACTTTAGTCACAAATGGTAATATCCAAGTTCCATTTGAAATAGCCAGGTAATCAGATGTGGTAATATCCTAAATATTCCTGTGCTAACATCCGAGCTCTAAGCACAAGGTGACAATGCAGTTAATCACAAGTGAAGATAGCCTAACAAATCACAGGAGACAATATCACAGTTAAAACCACAAGTGAAGATAGCCTAACAAATCACAGGAGACAATATCACAGTTAAAACCACAAGTGAAGATAGCCTAACTAATCACAGGAGACAATATCACAGTTAAAACCACAAGTGAAGATAGCCTAACAAATCACAGGAGACAATATCACAGTTAAAACCACAAGTGAAGATAGCCTAACAAATCACAGGAGACACTATCACAGTTAAAACCACAAGTGAAGATAGCCTAACTAATCACAGGAGACAATATCACAGTTAAAACCACAAGTGAAGATAGCCTAACAAATCACAGGAGACAATATCACAGTTAAAACCACAAGTGAAGATAGCCTAACAAATCACAGGAGACAATATCACAGTTAAAACCACAAGTGAAGATAGCCTAACTAATCACAGGAGACAATATCACAGTTAAAACCACAAGTGAAGATAGCCTAACAAATCACAGGAGACAATATCACAGTTAAAACCACAAGGGAAGATAGCCTAACAAATCACAGGAGACAATATCACAGTTAAAACCACAAGTGAAGATAGCCTAACAAATCACAGGAGACAATATCACAGTTAAAACCACAAGTGAAGATAGCCTAACAAATCACAGGAGACAATATCACAGTTAAAACCACAAGTGAAGATAGCCTAACAAATCACAGGAGACAATATCACAGTTAAAACCACAAGTGAAGATAGCCTAACAAATCACAGGAGACAATATCACAGTTAAAACCACAAGTGAAGATAGCCTAACTAATCACAGGAGACAATATCACAGTTAAAACCACAAGTGAAGATAGCCTAACAAATCACAGGAGACAATATCACAGTTAAAACCACAAGTGAAGATAGCCTAACTAATCACAGGAGACAATATCACAGTTAAAAACCACAAGTGAAGATAGCCTAACTAATCACAGGAGACAATATCACAGTTAAAACCACAAGTGAAGATAGCCTAACAAATCACAGGAGACAATATCACAGTTAAAACCACAAGTGAAGATAGCCTAACTAATCACAGGAGACAATATCACAGTTAAAACCACAAGTGAAGATAGCCTAACAAATCACAGGAGACAATATCACAGTTAAAACCACAAGTGAAGATAGCCTAACTAATCACAGGAGACAATATCACAGTTAAAACCACAAGTGAAGATAGCCTAACAAATCACAGGAGACAATATCACAGTTAAAACCGCAAGTGAAGATAGCCTAACAAATCACAGGAGACAATATCACAGTTAAAACCACAAGTGAAGATAGCCTAACTAATCACAGGAGACAATATCACAGTTAAAACCACAAGTGAAGATAGCCTAACTAATCACAGGAGACAATATCACAGTTAAAACCACAAGTGAAGATAGCCTAACTAATCACAGGAGACAATAAATATCACAGTTAAAACCACAAGTGAAGATAGCCTAACTAATCACAGGAGACAATATCACAGTTAAAACCACAAGTGAAGATAGCCTAACTAATCACAGGAGACAATAAATATCACAGTTAAAACCACAAGTGAAGATAGCCTAACTAATCACAGGAGACAATATCACAGTTAAAACCACAAGTGGTGAGAAACCAGAAGAGACGGTCACTAATCAAGAACAATGACAAGTACAGTACCATGTGTAGTGCAGATGGGGTAAAGCAGAGATAAGGTGTAGCAGAGATAAGGTGTAGCAGAGATAAGGTGTAGCAGAGATAAGGTGTAACAGAGATATAAGGTGTAGCAGAGATATAAGGTGTAGCAGAGATATAAGGTGTAGCAGAGATATAAGGTGTAGCAGAGATATAAGGTGTAGCAGAGATAACGTGTAGCAGAGATAAGGTGTTGCACAGACAGGATGTAGCACAGAAAGATGTAGATTAGAAAGATGTAGCACAGACAGGGTGTAGCAGAGATAAGGTGTAGCACAGTCAGGGTGTAGCAGAGATAAGTTGTTGCACAGACAGGATGTAGCACAGACAGGGTGTAGCACAGACAGGGTGTAGCAGAGATAAGGTGTAGCACAGGGTGTAGCACAGACAGGGTCTCGGATATTAGATCTATCACTCTATGGCCTAGCTGCAGTCAATGTCATTGTGTTGGCTTCAGTTGGCCCTAGATTATATCCTGAACATAATTAGGAACCTGTCAGTCAAGTCTTGGCTACTAGTGTGCGCTGGCTACCAGATAAGGAATCAAGCAAAAAACGCCAGTGTGACAGAGCAAGACCAGGACAGCCACAGACACGCCCGCTTGAGCAGATGCAGTGTGGACAATCTCAGAACCTCTCCGAATGGCCACAACATGAGAATATTTACATCGGCTAGTCTAACCAACATCTGAACACTGACAATATATCACGACTGTTTCCCAGTAAAAGGAATACAGGCACCTGTGCGCACAGAGTTTCAAGACACAACACCACTACAAGGAACACATCAGCACCAGGTGTGTGTGGCACCGATATGTTGTTCGCTGGTCCCTTGGTGCCAGCCTAACCCAATTATTGCACCAGCTCTGGGGGTCTTGGTGCCAGCAGCAAGA